GGGATGATGACCTGGAGGTCCCAACTGATCCCAAACCCATGGGAGATGGGACCTGAGGGTGGTTGGTGGGATCTGGGGGGTGGGTGGTGGGACCTGGGGGTTGGTTGGTGGGACCTGGGGGTGGGTGGTGATGACCTGGAGGTCCCAACTTATCCCAAACCCACAGGAGATGGGACCTGGGTCATGGTTGGTGGGATCTGGGGGTGTTTGGTGAGACCTGAGGGTTGGTAGAACCTGGTTGGTGGGACCTGTGGAGTGGGGGTGATGAGCTGGAGGTCCCAACTGATCCCAAACCCATGGGTGGTGGGATCTGGGGGTGGTTGGTGATGACCTGGAGGTCCCAAGTCAACCCAAACCCACAGGAGATGGGACCTGGGTCATGGTTAGTGGGTCCTGGTGGTGGTTGGTGGGACCTGGGGGTTGGTAGGACAGAGGACAAGGGAGAAGGGATGATGACCTGGAGGTCCCAACTGATCCCAAACCCATGGGAGATGGGACCTGAGGGTGGTTGGTGGGATCTGGGGGGTGGGTGGTGGGACCTGGGGGTTGGTTGGTGGGACCTGGGGGTGGGTGGTGATGACCTGGAGGTCCCAACTCATCCCAAACCCACAGGAGATGGGACCTGGGTCATGGTTGGTGGGCTCTGGGGGTTGGTAGGACCTGGTTGGTGGGACCTGGTGGTGGGACCTGGGTGATGGTGGTGATGACCCAACTTGGTCACCACCCTCTAGATGTGAACATGGAGGACCCGGATGAGAAGTCCATCATCACCTACGTGGTCTCCTTCTACCACTACTTCTCCAAGATGAAGGCGCTGGCGGTGGAAGGGAAGCGCATCGGGAAGGTGGGGCTGGGACACCTGGGAGTGGCCCCTGGGATGGCCCGTCCTTGCTCCAGGGGATGTCCCACCTCTGTCTCCATGGGTTGTCCCATCCTTGCTCCAGGGGATGTCCCATCCTTGGCTCCATGGGATGTCCCATCCTTGGCTCCATGGGATGTCCCATCCTTGGCTCCATGGGATGTCCCATCCTTGCTCCATGAATTGTCCCATCCTCTGCTCCATGGGATGTCCCATCCTTGGTTCTATAGGATGTCCCATCCTTGGCTCCATGGGTTGTCCCATCCTTGGCTCCAGGGGATGTCCCATCCTTGCTCCATGGGTTGTCCCATCCTTGCTCCATGGGATGTCCCATCCTTGGCTCCATGGGATGTCCCATCCTTGGCTCCATGGGATGTCCCACCTCTGCTCCATGG